GTGGATACACATTTCTATCTACATTATTACATCTCTCGTACATAATTGCAGCTTATTAATTAAAAGGTGGCAAGATAAAGAGTGAGCGGGTTCACAGGCAGGTACGAACAGCCCCAGTGAATTTAACTGATAGCAGAGTGTTTCGTCCCTCAACCATACTCTCACTGCTTATTAACATGTGCACTTCACACTCAAATGCGCTCTGCGCGTTCCGCTTCAGTGGATGAACCGTGTCACAGCTTAACAGCGAGAAGCGCACGCCGAGAGACAGCCAGGAGGAGAGAAATCAGGGTGTGTCTCTCTCTGCCACTCAAACATAATCTCTGCCCGTACGTGACCTCTACCGACTAATTTGTGAAACTGCATCCCTTCGCCTCTCGTTGCAGGCAACGGAGCGTGGCGCAGAGCAGGAGTCAGCGGAGAGCACGTTCACACTCGGTGAAACATCAAACTGCTGCTTGTTGAATCTCGCTCTGCCATGAAGACAATTACCCCCCTCCCCTCTCCTGAAATGCATCCAATAATGTTTATTGGATGACGGCATTATGTGAAATATTACAAACATTTTTGGCTTATTGTGTTTTGAGCAGCTTGCCTTTGTTTTCTCATACAACTTGGACTCTCGACACAACGTGAGCTTTACTACTAAACACTTTTAATTAGGCAGATTAGTGAAAACAAAGGGGCATTTAGTGTAATTAGTGGGATTATAGTCACTGTTGACCACATATTGCAACATTCAAAAATTAAAATAAAACAAAGTAGGGCTGCAACTCACGGTTATTTTTCATTGTTGATACATTTCTTAATGTATCGATTGGTTCATATAAAAGGTCAGAAAAGAGTTTTAAAAGTGCCCTTCACAATTTCTCAAAGCCCAAATTGACATAATCTAAATGTCTTGTTTTGTCTGACCATGTGTCTGAAACCCAAACATACATGGTTTCATATCAAAGAAAGTCAAGAAATCAAGCAAATATTATCATTTGAGTAGCTGGAACCTGTGGCATTTTGCCAAAAGAATAATTGCTGAATTATTTTCTCCTTTCAATTCATTAATCAACTAATTGTTTCAGCTCTACAGTAAAGTTAAAACACCTACAAAAACATGCACTTGGAAATTGTAAAATGAGGCTCTGTGAGATTATTCTGGCAGAAATAACACACACACACACACACACACACAGCATAAACTGAAAGCATCAGCCGCAGTCGATTTAACACTAAACACCGCCGTGCAGAAAGCCAAATACACCAACATGGTGACGGCTGGTTGCTATTCAAACACGTTACTCAGCGTGAAGTCAACTCACCTCCTCCAGCTCTTCCTCCTCACCTTACAACTTGGCAAAGCTTCTGTGAAAAAAAACGCTGCCAAATGGGAGACCATTACCAGGGGAGGAGCCCTGGCTTCAAGTCAGGTCAAATGCAAAAAAAAAGAGAGACTGTGCTGAATTCCTGTATGAGACTCCAATAAGCAATCAGCACTCCCCCTTACCCTGATGGATGGATCACAGCCCAGCCTTGTCGCTGCCTCTTATCCTCTCCTCTCCCTCTGGATTAAGTCCACTGAGTCTCTGTCACTCTTCTCCTCTCTTCCTCTCTTTTCCCTCCCTGTCATGAGCGTAATCACATGTGTGCACAAGCCAAGGCGGATGTCCACAGAGCAGAAACAGAGGGCTAGTGTTGGCCAATCGCGGGCTAAAAATAGGCTTCTTGAGTTCATCATTGTCTCTTCCTATGATGGTGAAGAGCCTACAGGGCTTGGCGAGAGGGAGAGGGCAGACCGAGCAGCATCCCTCTCTTCTGGCTCTTACTTCCCTCCTCGTATCGACCTCAGTCTCCCTATCAGTTTCACCTTTCCTCGGTCTCCTCTTTTGTAGGAGATATCAGAGCCGAGCTGGAGGCGCCAACATCCATTTTGCCTTGGTTTTTTATTTTTCTCCTTTATAGTTACACTGACCATCCATCCATCTCTCATAATGCAGAGGTCACAAGTTCGATGGGATCTAGTAAAGCGTGAGAGACAGTGAACCCCCTCCCCCCCGCATAATTGTTGAATGTCACAGTGGACAAGATAACCAGTAAAATGCCAACGAGGCTCTCCGTGTAGCAGCTGTTGCCATTGTGTCACGCATTGAAAAACACAAAAATATTGTTGCAGTGGGAAAATTACTTTGATTCATTGTCCACTGAAAATGGTGTATCTCTAAAATTTGGTATTTTTCTTATTTTCTGAAGGATTAAGTTTTTCTTTCGTGAAAAAATCTCCCAATTCTTATATTGAATAAACCATTCTGGATCAAAATGCACTGTCACAAAGTTGGAAACCGTTTTAGACAATTTGTCAACAAAGAATTGAAATTCTTACATAACTTTTATAATGCAATCCAATTATTTTGTCTACTCACTCAAAAAAAATTGTCCACACAAGAGGTTTCCTTCATAAATTACAACTCATGTTTTTATAATAGTTGAAACAGAAGTCATTCGAGATATATAAAAGAGCAAAGAAACAAAGAAAACATTAAGCCTAAATGTCTCTATAGATGATGGTTATGTACTTGAGCGCAACTGTGAGAACAAGAAAATATTTTCCTAATTTAGGTTTACACCAAATAGAGCTGCAACGATTAATCAATTAAGTCAACTTTTAAATGTTAGTTGCAGCTCTAAAACTCAAAAAATCAACAGACCGTCTTTCTTCATAAATGTGCCGTTGCACTGAACGTCACAGATTCTGATTTGAAAAATAAAACGTAAATAAATCATAGAAAACCTCCCTATTTGAAGAATTGTTAGGTCAAGTTCTAAAATAATATGGTTCACTTTATGACCAAAGAAAACACACTGCTAATCTTTTAGTACACAAACGATGATTCGCTTTAGATGAGTTAGCCGATCATGCAGGATAGACACATGGATAAATATGTGTCAAGTTAAGATTAAGAGAGAAACGTCTGATTGACCCATTGCTCCCTGAGTCACACGGCTCAATTAAACTCACCCAGAAGGTCTCTGGAGACGGTGAGTAATCCACTGAGCTCTCAGCAGAAACACCTTGTAAGGCGTGTCTTCTCTGGACAGATTAATGGGACGTCCGCTCTTGATATCACGGCTACTCACAATGCTTTCTATTGTATTAATGGTTGTCAGAGGCACAAATGCATCAGCAGGAGTACACACGTCCAACACACAATAACAAACAGTATTTCATATACACATTATACCCTGCAGACAAATCATGAGAAAATGTCAGATGTGGTTTAGAGCAAGATTCCCAAACAAATGCAGCTGTTATCAGGAAATAAAAGGTTGATTGCCCTCTGGCTTAACAAGACATGACTTCATGTTTCTATATTCTCACGTTAAGTTACTCCATTTGAATACAGTTCAGCAGTATTATACTTTCAGCTGTAAGGGTGTTTAGGGTTCACATCCATATTTGGTGAAGAGTGTCGGACCTACAGCCCTTTTTCTTCTTTAGAGTCCCCCCCCACCTTTAAGACAACACAGCAGGACGATAATACCAAACTGACGTACAGAGCAACCAAGTTTTGCTTTGGTTTTGGGTTGGAATGCTCTTGACTTGCCAAATCAGTCATCTGACCTCAATCCCACCAGTCATGTGTTTCACTTCGTAAATACCAGACAGATGGGGGAAAAAAATGAATGAATGATGTCAGAGTTGGATGAGAATTCTCTGTGGGCTCATCACTAGAGAAAGCCAAACACAGAGCTATTTGATCCCATAGAAAATGAGTGTTTTAGAATAGGGCTGTGAATTCATTAGGAAATTAAAGTTTGAACAAATAAAACAAACACGTAATTTGTTTTAATTAATTCCATTAAAACCCATTTAGTGTATTTTTAAGAACAACCAGAACTACTTCCATCAGTCTGTTGCACTTATAAACCGTCAATCTTAAATTCAAACAGGTTCACTGTTTAAAATGTAATCTTTTTAAAGCTTTAATTCTATATTGACTTGCATAACTAATGTATGTACCTTACAGTTTGGTACATGTAATGTACATGTTGACAGCCTTACGTGCAATTCTGTGCCGTCCAGCAGACTATTGGGTAGTAGTATTCCAACAATAAAAAGCCGGTTGAAAATCAGAAAGGTTTCCCTTTAAAGATTTGTTGGTATGTGGCTATAAAGTCCTTGATAATAACTCCCTGAACGCCTATAAACTACACGAGGCATTGTTATTTTTAAAACTAAATGAGTGGGACAATCTGAGCTTTCAGAGCAAAAAAGAACAATATTTGAAACCGTCAATGTTCAAGGGAGGGAAATCTGGATTAATCAACCTTATATTTATTGATTACTTTTGGGTAAGTCCCCAAAACAGATACCTCTTCTTTCCATTCGGGTTCACTGAAGTGCAGAATTACCTTGAACATCAACATGTTTGGGCTCCTTTATAAAACGTTACCATCCATCTGTTGCTTCTACCATTTCATTTTGACTGTTTTCTGTCAGGAAGTTCTGTTGTAACCGGTTGTATATGGACCCAAATGCAACACACAAGATTCCAGGGATCTTTGGCTTTTATTACAAACTTCCAGAAACAGCAGGTAGAGTTTAAACAGGGTCAGGATCAGAAGGCTGGTGGGTTTACCGGGAGTCAGGCAAGGGAGGGTGGAAGAGGGGCAGGCAGGGTCGGTGGCAGGGTCGGTGGCAGGGTCGGTGGCAGGGTCGGTGGCAGGGTCGGTGGCAGGAGGTCAGTCCGTGAGAGCGTGCTGGAGAGTCTGGCATTAAAAACCGAAGAACAATCTGACAAATGCGTCCAGGAGGCAGGAGTCTATATAGGGGCTTGATTACTGATCAGAGGCAGGTGAGTGAACAGGTGAAGGGAGTTTAGACTGATGAGGAGGGAGTGACTGACAAGTAGAGTGAGGAGGGTGTGGAGCTGAACTGTGATATCTGTGAAGTTTCTCATTAATGGAGATGGCGGCTATCTTTCCCTTTCAGACACCCACCCTCCCTATCCATCAATAACTACTCTCACTATCTTTCTCCTCCTTTTCCTCCCTACATCTCTCCCTCTCTCCTCTCTCTGTGTCCTGACTCCTCCCTCAGTTCAGCCTGGTGCCCTCTCAGCCTCCCTCTGCCTCTCCTTAACCGACCAGTGTCTCTCCTCAACTCAGTCACTTCTTAAACCACTAAACAACCACAGAGGGGATCAGCCTTTCACCTCACTACAGGTAGGTTTGTTTAACTTATGAGAATACAGAAAACATTGTTTAATATCTCAACATGTTCTGTAAACAGTAGGATGTAGTAGAGTGAAAGTTGTTTCTGCTATGATGAGATTGGTCAAGAATAAAATGGAATAAAAGCAGCACATTTTTTAAATGTTAGAATTGAGATGTAGAGAACGTTACTTTTAATCAAATCTCTATAAAGTGTTGCTAGTTTGAATACAATTAAGATCCCTTATTTCAAAAATTCCCTCTTATCGGCTTTGATAAAAAACGGTTTATGCTTCAAACATCAGGAAAAGCATTAGATAAGAAACAACCTTGAAAAAGGGGCCACTGCAGAAAAAGCTGCATGGTTTTCCTATAGTCCTAACTGGAGACTACGCTGAAATGATCCCCTAACTAGGTTTTTATTCATTATTTTGTAGAAGATCGTTTGAGTAGCTATACTCAGAACATCTGTATTGCAGCGTGCTGGGTTGTCTGAGGTCACGATTGTTAAACATGCTTGACTACAAGATAAAATGCAGGGAATTTCCTGTTTATTCAGAGTGATCTAGTAGATTGCCCACCCTCGTTTCGTGCAGTCATCGCCATAAAAAGAAGTCTTTTCTTTTTTTCTTTTACTCTGAGCTGACATTGGTGTGGTGCTAATACAGATTGGTGCTATCTGAGCAACGCCAGCAGGTATACTTTGCATTTTACAATCAGGGATGAACAGTCCTTCAGTCTGCTGAAACAAGATGAGGGAAAGAAAGAGCAGTGTGTATACCGGCACCTCTCCTTTTATAGGTATTGTTGCATGTAGCCTTAAGTGTTGCAGATGGCCTCCGTCTGCTGAGCAACACTGATCTGTACTCCAGAAGAGAGGCGTTATATATCTATCTATCTATCTATCTATCTATCTATATATATCTATCAGTATATACAGTGAATGACAAATGTACTCAACAGGCTCTCCTGCAAGCTCACAGAATGCCTTTTGGGGGAGGAAACAAGTGCGGCTGCTGCCAGAAAACCGTCTACTTCGCCGAGGAAGTGCAGTGCGAGGGGAAGAGCTGGCACAAATCCTGTTTTCTCTGCAGTAAGTATTAAAGTTCCCAGGTAATCTGCTCTATTCGTCTGCAGACTTCCGACTTGGAAGTCACAAGAAGTGCCAGGATGGAATGCAGGGTATTTGGCACCAGGGAGGGAAAGTGAGCGTCTGCAGATTTTCGCTCAGACATCTCAGTCCTTATTTGGATCCAGTGGAAACATGTGACAAAGGTTTGGGCTTCCTTATTTGGCAGAGGAAGGTGCTCGTACTCCTCCTCCTCCTCCAGCACAGACGAGGGGTTATCCGAGCCAGCTACGCACAAAGTGGGCTTCTTTAAAATGTCACGCATAGTTTGAGGTGATGTCACGGCTAAACATTGTGAGAAAAGTGTTTTAGATTGTTTGGTTTGCTGTAGATGCTTGTGAGAGTAAAGAGAGAATAATTAGATCTGGATTTCTAATGTGTTTGTGTTTTCTCCCTTTTTCCTTTGTTGTAAGTGGTCTGCAAGAAGAACTTAGACAGCACAACAGTGGCCGTCCATGTGGATGAGATCTACTGCAAATCATGCTATGGCAAGAAATACGGGCCGAAAGGCTACGGCTTCGGAGGTGGAGCCGGTACTCTGAGTATGGACACAGGAGAGGGACTTGGAATCAAGCCTGAAGTGTGAGCTAAAAATCACTTCATCCTTTTCTTTGACCTATTGAGGTCAGCATAAAGCTAAATACTGTACATCCAGATGATAGAATCACAAAGTACATTTCCTACGTTTTTGGAAGAGAAAAGTGCGCACAAACAAAACAACTTCTATTAAAATAAAAAGGATCCACATATCTGTGTTAGTAGCTCTTAATTAGTTCAATGAAGTTGTTCGTCCAGCTGTTCTGTTCCCGCCTTTTCTACCTTCTTTAGAGCTCTGCTTTTTACCTCACAGGCAAGCTCCTCACCGCCCTACAAACAACCCCAACGCCTCAAAGTTCGCCCAGAAACCAGGGGCCTCAGATGTGTGTCCTCGATGCGGGACAACAGTGTACGCAGCCGAGAAGGTTGTCGCAGGAGGCAATGTAAGAAAGATCTATGCATCCATTATGGAAGTCTAAGTGGAGGATTTGTCAATGCTTTGTATATGTTTGAGTTTGAACCAACTCTCTCTCTCTCTCTCTCTCTCATCAGTCCTGGCATAAAGGCTGCTTTCGCTGCGCCAAGTGTGGCAAAGGACTCGAGTCCACGACTGTCGCTGATAGAGACGGGGAGATCTTCTGTAAAGGTCTGTGTGTGGCAGAAAATGAAATCTACATTCTCTCTTGGTCCAACTTTAGAATAGGAAGATTTGCTGATTTTCTTTCTCTTATACGACAGTAAATTTAACATTTTTCGACTGTTGTTCGGTCACAAGGAAGAAAAGCAATTTGAAGATGTTACCTTGGGCTTTAGGAAATCGAAATGGACCTTTTTCACTATTTTCTGATATCTTATAGAAGTAATCAAATTGATTAATGCAAAACAGTCGTCACCAATGACAAATTATTGATAAATTATTTGTAAAACAGATGCAAATAGTGACATGAATGAATTAATACTGCATTATAGTGCATGCAGTTGTTTTATAAGAGATATGTTGGATGTCACTGGTCAAGTTAAACCTCCACCTGTCACATCTGGTTGAACTTCAACCTGCAGCAGAAGAAGTTGCTCTAATGACTCAAGACAGAGGCAGCCCCTCTGACCTTTTGCCATTTAGTGTATTGTCATACATATTTGATCATGACTTGTATGAATAAGCAAGTCTAAAAATAAACTCTTTAGTTCCGATTTTGTGACTCTGTATATTGATGTTTAATAAACTAGTGTTTCTCATTCTTCGTAATCTCATTCACAGGCTGTTACGCAAAGAACTTCGGTCCCAAAGGTTTTGGCTTCGGTCAGGGTGCGGGAGCTCTGGCTCATTCCCAGTGAAGCCTGGAGCCTGGAGCCTATAGCCCACCTGGGACCGACATCGCTCTGATATCATCGCTTCCAGGATCCTTCAGTCGATACCCAGCCTATACTTCACTCTGCCCGTTCACTCCAGCTAAAGGCAAAGAAGAATGAAAGAGGCACACAACTCACCGCTTTTTGTACGAGTTCACCGAGTAGATTTTTGCTTTATATGTTGCATTTGATTCTGGATTATGACGTCCTCGTTTTTGACTTCTTATCATGCTAAATATTCATAACACAGTAAATTATAATTCTGTGTTTGGATGTGCACATTGTGTGTGTTTAAAAAGGAAACAAATAAAACATGGCTAGAATACAAAGAGACACTTCCACTGTAATAACAGAATTAAGTTTGGCAAATGAGTTTGATTAACAACCGAATCAGTCGGGTTTAGAGACTGACAGCTGCAAAAAACCAGGCTCCCATCATGCTTCAGTTCCACTCAACATAAAGCTTTTCCTTTCTGCCTCACATGTCAAATGGTGTGCGTACTGTCTTAAGATGTGCCTTATTCCTGAGACAGAACAAACAAACAATGGCATTTTTATTCTTACTCCGCGTGATGCAAAGTCTGGCACACTCTACACAAATGTCATTGTTCCTTATACGGTTCTGGTCCGATGCAATCATCGTGTGCCTGTATGTGGTGTTGGGCGTGCTTGTTATTCGCTCTGATCATCATCAAACAGAGCGAAATGCCAGCGGTCGTGGAGAACAACGGAGTCGCAGTGCTTCAGCCCCGTCTCTGCCTGCTCCGAGGAGTTGGCACACTGACCGGAGCGCCAGGCAGCTGTTTGTTTGTCTGAGTCAGATCAACAGCAAAACTGCAGGTCTGAGGTCACGCTGGGATCTGTTCCAGAGTTGTCATTTGTTTACAGTCCTAATAAGTGGAACAAAAATGTGTTTAATCTCTGACATTTCAAATGGATTTATGTTTGCTTTGAATGTCCTGCTGCAGGTATTAAAATACCGTGGACATGTAGTTTAATTCCCTTCAGTCCTTTACCCACCAGAGGGCAATAGAGAGGCCTGATCTCACACTAAGTGAGTATTGAATACCTGGACTTTTGTCCCGCCACAGTTTTTGAATGAACCGGAAATATGTTTACCCTTTTCAGCGGGTGGGCTTGCTTGGAACTTTCTGTGAGCATTTCAAATAAACTCCAGCTTTACCAGCTGTGTGATGAACATATTAATGCATCATTAGTTATCATCCAGTGATATAGGCCTACAGAAAATATATTTTGATGCCAATCATTTTGTACTTTTAAGTAACATTTTGAATGCAGGACTTTTACTTTGTCTTTTTACAGATAAAAAATAATATGAATGGGGATGACAGCAAAAAACACATCCACAAAGCATGGTAAATGAACATTTTAAATTCTTAGACTTATACAACAATATACAGCATGTGCAAACTACTGTACTGTAAAAGTGCTTTGTAATCCGTTGGCATCTGAATATATGAGTCGGTGTTCAGTTTCCTAGAGACAGTCCAGCAAACACACACAGCACTTTGTTAATCCTGCTGCCATATATACTGAGGAATTATAATCAGCTGCCATGAGCCAACAGCCTGGATCACAGTGTCATAAATCAAATCAGCATCAGGGACTTTAATGTGCTGACTCAGCGAGACCAAAAGAACGGTCCTGCAACATTTTACAATCTAACTCTACCCAAAAGGTATATAAAAGAGGATACAGTTACATCCCTGATGGCATTGTAAACAATGCACAGTGCCTCTCTATAAACATGAAACTGTAATAAATAGCAGGGCTGGTGGCCCAGCAGGTCAGAGTGACTGTGTCTCAAGGGGCTGACAGCTCGCCAGTTATCCCACTGAACCGCCTGCTGCTCCACTGTATGCAGGAGACAATGCAGCAGCCACACATATGTTTCCACATATGTGAGGCATGTGGGCAGTGTAAAGAGCAGCAGCATGAAAAGGCTGTTTTCAATAATACTGTAATTTTCAGAGTATGCAATATACGCAGATAGGTTACCTATTAGAGGAAAAACCTGAATAAATGAGGAACATAACAATGCAGATGCTTCCACGGAAGAGTTCATCGACTGGTTTGAGAAGAATGAAAATGATGTAAATCATGAGCTTTGGCCTGCGACGTCAACTCAGTTTAAAACCTATTGGAGAATTGGGAGTGACATGTTTGATTGGACTCTCCACCACCATCATCAGCATAATACCAAATGAAGGAATATATTTTGGAAGTATGTTCATGTGTCCAGTCAGAATCTAAGGTGCAGTGAATCTGTTCTGCCCTCACTAGCAGCAAGTAAAACACACTTAAAATAAGTGTTCAACAGAAAAGTTCCTTTAAAGTTTGTATTGGAAAAAGTCTTGAAACTGTGAATATATGTATTGGATAGCAGGTTTGAAGGTGATTTAAAAATAGCATAGAAGTGCTCACGCTAATTAATGACATACTAACGTACTCTGCTAAAGTTAGCGACACTGGTTTTTACGTTGTTACGTTTTAGAAACGTACACCTCCTTCCAACCTCTCTATCACTATTACGCAACGTTTAAAGATAACCAGCTCCATCAGCCTGAAAAAGAAGAAAATATGAACGATTGAGGGTCTGTGGATCAGAGTTGGTTAGTTGTCAGACCCTGTTCAGAGCTCGCCGATGCCACGCTGTGATTGGCCAGTCTGTGTTGGAGGGCGGGACTTAGTGAAGGGTCAATTACATCTCTAACACAAACACAACCCAGACACAAGTGATTTTGTGGATTCATGCAAGGACTTGTTGTCCTTGCACGAGTGAATTGAGCACTTAAACATGTGATCACATGAGACAAGACAGATTCGTCTGTGTTTACATTCTGCACACACAAACTCCAAATATAAAGCGTGCACTCATAGAGTACGAGAGCCGAGACCCAAAATCAGAGAGTGGCAGCATCACATGGCCCTGCAATTTGTCTATGTTTAGTTGTTGGCCTTAGCTAAATGTATACTGGAAACTGCATTCCTGCCTTAAAACCTCGGCTTAGCATTGTCTGCCGCTCTTATCCTAATCAGACCAGCGGGGCCCTGCAGTCTCAGGGGGGACAGGGCACGTCTCCAACATCACTCTTAGTAGCCAAAGAAGATCTCAGATAATCATCAGCAACAAGACAAGCTGTTTAGCTGTGGCTGCGTGAAGTTTGCTTCAATATGGGTTAAAAAAACAAAACTCTAACTTGAACTTTCTGCATACACATCAGCCGTCTGTTAGGATGAAGAAAGCTGGTACACGAGTAAAGAAGATTCAACCTAGAGCTTTAAATAGCTTATACAGCGTGAAAGAGGAAAAACAGATTAACAACTGACTGAAGACTGCCGATGGGAAAGTCGTTCATCCCGTCCTGCCGCACAGCAAAAGTTCACACACATTATTATAAAGAAGCAGAGGGCATTGATCTGTCAACACAACACAAGCATCACAACCACTGTTATCCCGAGACCACCCCTCTCATGTGTGTGTGTGTGTGTGTGTGTCTGTGTGTGTGTGTGTGTGTGTGTGTGTGTTTCTATTTAAGTCTACTCGTGATAAAGAGGAGGGACAAAGGGGAGCAGGAGATAAATATTCTGGTGCGCTCTTCTCTCCATCGCTTTGTGTCTGTCTGCATCCACAGCATCAACACAGAAAGGTAAGGCTGAGAATCTCTGCTTCACTTCATGTGGTAATGTATTACATATTTAACAAAAAAATTGTATTTTTGGATCAAGAAATATTTTTGTCTCATCGAAAGTCCAAAACCCAAAGATTCTAGTTTACTATCAGAAAACACTGAAAACCATCAAATATTCACATTTCAGAGGCATTTTTGATTATAAAATGTGTTAATTTTCTGTCGAGTAACTCATTAATTAATCAACTAATTGTTTCAGTTTCCATTATATTAAAAAGGTTTAAAAAGAAATTGCGTTGCTACAACAATAAGGACTCTCTAAATGACCGTTAATAATCACGAATCACTTAATTGTAGAACACTGAGTGGGCGATATGGATGCCATCTTCTATTTGCATTATATGTACTTTTATTTTTCAGTATTGATATATTATAATAATATAATAGTAACATTTCAGAAAAATAAACTGCTCATGGACAAAATAACCAGCCAGAAATGTTTTTCGCTGTTTCATGGAACAGTATCTTGATTTGTCAGATATTCCAGCACATTCATGCAAAAAATAAATAAATAAACAAACAAAATTCAGTATTATCAAAAATCAGTCAGCTTCATTGACTTACAGCATGGCCTACAAAAAACCTAAAGATATTAAAAGGAAAAGATACCAACATATAAACACTATTCAAATCTAAAGTTGCAATGATAAGCTGCAATAAGAATGGTTTTGATAATGAATCAATAAAGTAATTTTACAAACAAAAAGTCGAACAATGAATTATTCCAGCATTTAGATTGTGAGGATAAGATGCTTTTCACTGTCTTATGTGAGAGTAAACTGAATATCTTTTGGTCATGAAATGTTGGTGTGACAAAAAACATACAATTTATTTATTATTATTTATCAATGATGTAAGTAATTGGTAGTTACAGTCCTACAAAATCTCAAATGGTTGACACATTAATATAGTTTTATCGTATAAAGCATCCAAAGCTGTGCAGAGCATACACATGTTTATCCTTTTACCGCTTTGTAATATGTGTTAATAGTAAAGCCAGTTAAGCATTCTTAATTAAAAGGCCTTCCTACAAGTACGACATAACAATGCCTGATGAACAAAACATAAACACCAAAAACAGACAACTAATTTAGTAATTTATTGTATAATTTACAAATCATTGTTCAAGAATAGTAGAAGCCATGGAGTAAAAGCTAACATTAGACAACAGCTTTAAAAGATCAATGTGTCTCTATATACACTGTATATTTCCATTCTTGTAACACTATAGGGGCGACTGTGTGGTGGAATGTGTCTATAGTGGAGCTAAAAGGGAAACCATAGTCAAGACCCGCTGGGGGGGCTCGACCCAAGTGGTCCCCGCTGTCGAGCACTTCAGAGGCAAAAGGTTTTATTTTTGTCTTCCAGGGGGAATTGAAATAGCCAAGATGCCTGAGAAAGCGTAAGTGTATTGTGTTCTGTTATTGTTTCCATTTCCAAATCAGAGTATGAGTTTCATACAGCAAATAGGATTTATCTATAGAAACTATAGGGCTCCGGACAAAATCTTCTACCACGATATACGTAGGTCATTTCATATCTCAATAATGATATATCACGATATGTAGCATGTTTTCTGGTACTTCAGTAAAACAAATCTATGAAATAACCACATGGTAGTATTTTTGTATCGTCCTGTGTGAATTAAATACGTGGCAAAGTACTGGTCAAATTAATGAGGAAAACATTATTAAATACCTTCAGCTACACACCGACTACGTTTACATGCATGAACGCAAATACAGAGTAATCAGATTAAAACGATAGTTTGATTTATACTGAGTTGTTCCAATAAGTAGAATTAGCATCAATTCCGATTATCTGAGAAATTTGAGTTAATTAATGTGCGCTTGATATTATATTTCAATTTAGACGATGTATTTGGGTATCACAATATCTCAATATATGATTTCATCACGATACGACTCCATTGCAAGACGATAAATTATCATATAGAAATATTGCTATCTGTTGAAATATGATATGCCAACGATCATTAAAAGTTTTTACAATCTGCAATTGGATGCTAATTAAACTACATTAAACTACATTTCTGTGTCCTCTCTTTATTTTCTTCCCACAGACCGGAGGTAAGACTTCACAAGACACTTCTCACTAAGGAATTGAATAATATTACAGATTATCCCTGGACTACTAAAATGTTTGCAATGAATTTTACAAATATATATTTTGGCAGAGAAAATCTAAAATCTCAGCCTCTCGGAAGCTCATGCTGAAGGTGAGTCCTCAGTCCAATTTGCACAGACTGCGTCATCACAGCGAGTCAAACAGTTACATTGATTTTGTGCTATTTCAGAGCTTGATGGTCGCCACGGCCATGGAGGAGCTGGAGCAGGAGATGGAAGAAAAAGAGGAACAGAAGTCAAAGTACCTGGATGAAAAATCCCCTCCTATACAGCATGTCCTTAGACGAGCTGCAGGTAGAAGATCACGTTCACCACAGAGTTGTTCACATTTGCAAACTAAAACTCTGAAATAATGATGTTTTTACACTCAGGAGGTGATAAAGTTAACATCCACCTCCTTTTATTCTCCGTTTAGACATTGTGTGAAGAGCTGCATGGCAAAGTAGACGTGGTGGACGAGGAGCGGTATGATATTCAAGCCAAAGTCTCACACAACACCAGAGAGGTAACTGAACAGCTTTGATCATTTCCACACAGACAACCAAACAAGTACTTTCTGTCCAAACATCAACACAGTTTAGTTTTAAATGGTCTGATTCTACAATGGGACGGTTGAATTGATGTTACCGTCTGTAGAAAATGGCTGGGATTAACTTCCTCTCCTCTCTTCTCCACAGATCAAAGACCTGAACATCTAGGTCTTGGACCTGCGAGGGAAGTTCAAGAGACCCAGCCTGAGAAGGGTGAGGGTCTCTGCTGATGCCATCCTGCGATCCCTACTGGGCTCCAAACACAAGGTCTCTCTGGATCTGGGAGCTAATCTCAAATCAGTGAAGAAGGAGGACACAGAAAAGGTGAGTTTGGGGAACAAATACAAAGATATGGAGATGCTTTCAGCCAAATGACACAATCCTGATGTATTTAACGACACACAGCGTTCATCTTTGGCAGAGATGTTTCCCATGGTGGTGATTTATGTTGCACATCTGCACTTTAAGCCTTTGGCTGATTGTCAGCCTGACGGAGTGTGACACTGATTCATGAGCTTCCTCAGCTTTGCCGAAACAAAATGAAAACCACCGGTGCGAGGGTCGAGATATAATGTTTAACACAGATTCCTCCGTACCGCGAGTGTTTGTTTCATCAAGAGGCGCTGGCTGAATAGAAATGGCATGCATGCAAATGTGCAGAAAACCTTCAGAGCAAACACCACACGAGGAGAAGTCTTTACACAAACTCTCTGTGTTGCTCTCTGTGCAGGAGAAGACGGTGGAGGTGAGCGACTGGAGGAAGAATGTGGAGGCCATGTCGGGCATGGAGGGCCGCAAGAAGATGTTCGACGCAGCAATAGGCGAAAACCAGTAAACGACTGTTAAAAGAAACAACTGTCTTTCATCTTACATCAAATATGATCGCTTGTAAACCAAAGAGTGCAGAATGCATAAACTCTGATGCACTTCACTGGATCACAGAGATTTTGTTTTTGGTTTGTTCATACATTTTCTCAAATGTTCTGTGTTTTCTTTCATTATCACTGAAATAAACATTTTAGGATATGATTGATATGGCACTCCTCAGACTGCGTATCCCATTTGCATTCTCTCATAGTGGGTCTATTTGGTTGCATTTCATTCTTTGAATATCAAAAGAAGTGAAACTTTGCATTCATTCACATCCATCAGCTGTTGTGATGAACCGTGATTTAGCCTCAAGTGAAGCTGCAGAAACACAGTTTACATTCTAAATGTAATCGAAGTCAGACAACTCTGAACGTTGCTCAAACTACACTCAGTAAAACAACATACAGAGTAAGACTCAGTTGATATCTAAATACAAGGCGTAACAGCAGCAAGTGAGGCAATAATTCATAAATGAAAATACACAGAGGCTATACCGAAAGCTCAGCCAGTACAAAGAATTGAGTCACAATTACTACCAATGCAATAAGGTATAGGCCAGCAGACCTGCACTCAAGAATACAGGATGTGTTGTGAGCTAGCATAAGTGGTTTATACGTAGCCTGGTGAAGTAGCAGTAATATCTGCCTCTTGGGACTACAGATGAAAAATAGCCTCTTGGCTAACTGGCGCATTTACAGCAATGCTTTTATGAATGTGCACTGTCCCTTATGGTTTACCATGAACCACTAGAAAATCTTCAGCATGTCCCGTCCAAAATGTACCAAGAACAGAGACAAGGATTGACTGTACATCTGCCCCATTCTTTAGTTTTTTGTAATAATCCTTACAATTTTCTCAGTGATATGTTTTTTTGTGATATTTTTTAAATTTAAGCAGCATTTTATGTGTGAAAAAACAAAGAATTTCACAAAACAGAATGGCATTTCAGAAAACACTGACATTTCGTCAAGCAAAATGACATATCACATAACACAAAGACATTTCCCACAACAGAACATATTGTAGTTCAGAGTGTACAACAAACAGAAGTAGTAGCTTTTGCAGTGTTTTCACTTCCTTATTCTTTTTTTCAGGTTCTACGGCAACTTCCGCCTAATTGTGCTGTGAGCGTAGATATTTTGCGATATTATAAATACTTTTAGTGGCAGTGGCAGGAGCCATGGAGAGCCAAGGCCGCCAAGAGTCATCTACACCAGTGGTCTCCAGTCACCGGGCTGTGGGCCGCCACCAGGCTACAAAGCATTTGCTATGGGGCCACGAGCAAACGTTGAAAAACATGCATAAAATAAAAACTTAAATACTACACATGTAGCAATATAGGCTATTTGTGCGGAAATTGAGCCGTATCTGCCGATGCAGACTTTGTTGTTGTTTAGTTACAGCAGGTGATACCCAAGGCTCCAGATTTGTTTTTTCACCACCACCATGAAAAACCATTTCAACCACAGTCAACCCAAAGTCAAAGTAAACAGCCACAAATTGTTAATGGTATCCTTCTTCTTTTGTATTGCCAATCTGTAGTGGTTATTTGCATTTGTATTTTTAGTGACAAAAAAAACTTTAGTAGCATTATTTATGCATTATCAGCTGCTTAGAGGTAGTGTTAGGAAATTACACATGTGATAACTCTTTCATCTTTTCTCGCCAAATACTACAATATACAAGATTCATTTGAACACATCATGATAACGTTATAATTTACCTTTTTGTCAAATGACTGATTTTTACTGAAAGCATTACTTGATCGCCTCATAATGTAACTCAATGAAACCTCCATACATTAGCGGTTCGCTCCGGTGCTGCTAACGTTACGTTTCCTATTCCAACATGTTGTAGCAATATCATGGATTGGCAAATAGAAAACATTAATGCCGACATCTCGATCGCATATTTTGTCTCAGTAACGGTCGACAACGCTCGTCATTGAAACTTGAATTCACACTATGAAGGTTTAACTGTGTAATTACTCTGTGATTCATGCATGTGTGGCACCCTGTACCATTTAATGGCTACAATTATTTGCACAGTTGTTATTGTATTAGTTGTGTCATTACCTTGCCCCCCTCGCTATTATTTTCTGGTTATTAGAACTTAAAACGTTTTGTGTGACTTTTAAACTCCTACTTTCACCTAAAGTAGCTGCAGGGCGATACTCATTTTCGCCAATAGGTGGCAGTAGCGGGTTTTGGTTTGACTGGCGCTGTAATTCTTGTCTAAGATAAGCGAGCCAGACCAGAAAGGACACGAGATCACAGAAGCAGATATTCATCTGAGACTGTCTTGTTGTTGTATTCACAGGTGAGAGAAGTACACAGGCGCCATATACATTTATATTAAGTTCGCTCGCTTTTGCGGTGCCATGTTTTGATTTTTATAAAGTGTTTAATACTGAAACGTAGGGCGGCTAACTAAGGCTAGCATCATTAGCTAAAGGAGGCTATTCGCGCGCTAGCGGTTTAGCGCCATTGTAACGTCAGTAACCTGGCCTGATAATTGTATTGTTCCCATGTAAGGTTGCATACAGAGAAATGGTGTGTCCTGTGACAGATATAAGCAGTAGTTTGTTAGGCTGTATATTTCAAGTTGTGTGTTCACAATTCATGTAATTCTTGTCTAAGATAAGCGAGCTAGACCAGAAAGGATAGTCATCTGAGACTGTCTTGTTGTATTCACAGCACAATGCATTAATCTGGAAAACTGAATGGACATCATCATCATTCAGTGTGTAACATTTGCACCAAATCAACGCAAGATAAAGTGTTTGTAAAAACTCTTTCAGAACGTTGAAGTAAATTGGCATTCCCTATATCGTGGATCCGAAGACAAATGATGGTGGGACCTGATTTTAACAGGAAGCACAGTTTGAAGTCTACGAGATGACCAGCTTTGTAAAGTCAGGTAGGTCCAAAGACACCTACCTTCACTCACCTCATCTGAGGATTAGTAGTCATGCACATATAACCACCTGAACTCGTGTAAAGTTAGTATGTGTGTGTTTGTATGGAGGCGTGGGTTCAAATCTCACTTCTGACTGCCAGTGATTTTAATTCACTGCTGCTGTTATTCTGTAAACTGCCTCTGAACAGCAGATCAACCACTATACTAATTGATTCACAATTGTATGTATGTATGTATATATATATACACACAGTATATGACACCGAAGTTTTTAAATGTACGTATGTAAACACATAAATGTATAAATAAACA